AAGCTCCAGCTACTGGGTTAAAAAAATGTTCTAAAAGTATTATTTCTACAGAAGAATGTTGGGAATTAATAGAAAGGAAAAGAAAATGGATAGAAAAGTGTTTATTTTTAAGCAACAAACATCCTAGTGATGTGGCAGGTGACCCCAAGATTGCCTCTCTACCTCAACTCATTCCACTGGCAGCACAACCTGTGATATTCAATGAGACTGGCAAAAGGCTGGCTGATGTAGAGCAGAAATTTTAGAAGGGCCTTCTTACTGCCCAAATGCCATGGAGACGGTGGAGGGGAGGTTTCAGTCTTTGCTACGACTGCCTTCAGGAAACAGGAAAGCTGGGAGTCACCAAATGGCCTCACATGGCTGCGGGACTCTTCCCAAGCATTGTGCTACCGTGCTGTCCCCACCTACAGGGACAGATCCTGGTGCAAATCAGGCCCAACTGCATGGACATGTAACCCCAGGATCTCAGTTGGGATCCAATTTAATAAATAATAGTAATTAAAAGAGAACTGCTATTCCCACTCCTCAGAGCAGGGGTTCCAGGAGGCAGAGCTTTGCTGCTAACATCCACAAAACCTCTCAGATCCCTGGAGCAGAAATACCTTAAAGGCCAAATACCTTGTGGCACACTGCTGTGACCCCAGCAGGGTGAAGACTAGAAATACTGCTAGTGAGAGCCCATAGGAAGGGGATGTTCAGTACTTCTCAGTTATAGGACTGGGGTATTCTCCTCAATTTCTCTCTCCTGGATGACCTGTAGGCATGTGCCCGTGCATTTCTCTCAACCCAAGCCTGTAAATTCCTGTCTGTTTACAAGGAAGGGATTGTTCACCTGCAGTCAGGATGCAAGGCACATTCCTATGTCCAAATAAAAAGAGATTTACAGATTCACATCTTGTTTTTGCTGTATTATTCACCTTAAGGTTTGAAAGCTTTCTCGCCTACATAATAGCCTTTGAAAGATGAATACGTGGCAATAATAGATTTAAAATAGCAGTTTTTGCTCTATTTTCTGTGAAATACTTTTTATAATAGAATATGATTTCCTATAATTTATTTGAACATAATTTTACTATTATAAGGGGAAAAAAGAAGGGGAGAGATTTAGTGTTAAGCTTGTTAGAAAGGGAGGCTATCAGCACACACCTGTTCATGTTTTTGCACACTATTCAGAAGCAGCTGGTTCAGCTTTACAAACTCGTTATATAATTATTCCTCCTCGTTTTGATAACCATTTATAATAACTGCAACAAGCATTCACACCTCACCTTTCTCCCAGTGTCTCTTCTATACATACGCAACTAAGGAAGTCAGAGCCAAAGTAAATATGTTCGAGGCAGCCTTATCAAAGGTATTACACAGCATTTCAAAAGAGGCTGATATAAGCAATAAGGAGCGTGGAAAGATCCTGCTTACTCAAGCTGCATTCTAACAGCAAAAAGGTAACTTCATAATCTGCTGCCTGATTTAAACTTTTTGTTTGGTTGGTTGCTTACTCTTTTGCACAGCAAGTGTGTCTCAGGCACCAGCGGTGGTACTGCCTGGCATCCTCTCCGTTGTCTGCAGCGCAGGGCAATACTGGGTCAAGTGGCATGCGTGTGGGGCTTGGCACAGCTCCAGAGGAGATGAGCCAACTCATGCCAGCGGACAACTTGGCTCCGTACTTACAAGCCAGAAAGAAAAGCACATTAAGCCCTAATCCTCTTTGGGATTGGATTCAGATTTACTCTTTTCTTCTGCGCCTTGCTGGAAAATTGTTCCAACCGCTCAACAAAGGGCCCTAGCCAAGCCTTTGACACAGTAACATCCTGCAGTTAATGCCAGGAGCCAAGCTCTTTAAAGGATCATTGATTTCCTTATATGAAAAGGCACACATCAAACCCCTCTCCATCGAAAGGAGGAGGTGGAGGGTATTGACCTTTTCTATGAGAATGCAGAGGAGGATTTTAAAAAGACAAAATGCATGACTACCTGATGCTGAAATTAATGCTTATCAAAGTTCTTCATGTGATAACTCAAGGTACAAAGTTTTCTATTCATCCACAGGGCCAATTCAGCATAAGGAACCTCATTTTCTCATCAGGCAGCATGACACGGATAATGGCTTAATTCCTGTTTGTGAGCATGACAATGACAGTACTAACATAGCTGGACGTTTTGGGCGTGTGTTCGCACACCAGTGTATATCCTGTATATCCATGAGTGAGAATAATCATCTGGGAGCACAAGCAACACAACTCTGATATAACAAAACAAACAAGTAGCTATTTAACTGAAAAGAAAAGAACCCTCCCAACATAAGATGGTAGTTTAGGCTATGTATCCCCTTACAGTCTATTTGCTCTACTGACTTTCATTATACTACTCTGACACATCCATAGAGAACGATACTGTCTGTTTCATTTTGTGTCAACTATGCACCCTACACAAAGGTAGTCCTGCAAGATTATCATTTCCACTGCTCTACTCCCCCAACATACATCCTATTTTCCCCGAGGCAAAAGGCTCATAAATGTATTTCCGCATATAATTTTAAAAGCTACAAAACAATGTTTTTTCTTTGCTGATGATAACAGGTGACAATTGTACCTAAAATAGATAGTATGACTTGACTTGTTCTTCCAGATGTGATCAAGGATATCTGAAGGATGTTCTGCTTCTCTTCCACAAAGTGCCAGGGGGATCCCACACACCAAGGTCCATCTGGCCCAGTGGCCACCATCTCTGATGGTGGCAACCAGAGATCTATTTAGCCTGGGCACTTTGTATGGTCATTTTCCCTCATTTTCCTCCGTTAATCTCAACTGACATTTTAGGGATGTTGAAAGACATCCCTGGTGATTTTTTTATTTTTTAATATCCATGTATGGATCTCTGGTTGTGATTTTTTCTAATCCCTTTTGAAACTCCTGTCCATTTCCACAATCTTCTGTAGCAGGAACTTTTGCAAGTTTACTAGATACTATTTAAAGAAGCACTTTTTAATTCCATTTAAAATTACCTTGAATCACTTTCATTAGGTGCTCCCAAGTTTTCTTGGTTTTGGACAAGGATGATTTCTTGATGCATAACTCATGGGTATGATTAAATAAATAAATAAATGAGAGTAAGAAACTTTCTAACTGTGGAAACATGGAGAGGTTCACAGTGGGCTGACAGAAAAATCCTGAATGTGTGAAGCTTCTTCACACGAAGTGCTCTCTAAACGCCACTTCAGATAAGACTCGGGCTACAAAATTGTGATGAAAAAAGGTGTCACTCAAATTTCAAACAGTATTTGCAAAACTTTTCACAGTTTCATTTTGAAAAATAAGGTGTTAACTCAGAAATATCATACAAGGCTGACTGTGGCAGATCAGATCTCTAATCTAGAAAACAATGGCCTTTTCCGAAGCAATATTGACTGGGCTTCCACTGATGTTTGCTGAGACCCTCAAAAAGACTGTCTAAATTTTCCAGTGCTGGTTTGATGCTTTTTGGACCAGTAACTATTATTTCTAGGGTCACTCATTATTCACAAAAGAATATCAGCTTTCATCTGGCATTAGCTCAAGTAAAGGCTGGTTGGTAACAGCTTCTTGGGAGAAGAGTGAAATATTGAGGGATGGATAAAGACTGAATTCCTTAAAGTGAAAATGACAGCCCAAAGTGATGTCTTCACTGCTTGCCTAGCAGCTGAGAGAAATACACTCCTTAATCTGGAACATTCTTTGAAATGCTGTGGGAAGCAGCATAAGCCAGCTGTGCTGCATGCGGCACTAGATGGGTGGAGAAGCTGAGAATATTTGGATTTGGTTAGTGATAGATCATCCCACAAAGAGCAATGCAAACATAAGTTTGAATGGGATAAGGTACCAAACAAACTAAGGAAGAGTTGAGAGAAAACCGGTAGAGCAACCGTGCCTAGCATATCTAAATTTGTGGAAATGGAACAAGTTGGGGCTTGCTATGGGCTAATATATGAATAATTACTTTTGTAAAAACATACTGATACACATGATCATTAATTCTTATATGATCTTCAGGAATTGCTTCTTGCCCAAATTATGAATAGATATTAATTATAACAACGCCTTGTATTATAATTACAGTGTGCTTTTCATTCCAAGGGATCCTTAGGCCTTTTACAGTGTATGTATAATTCATTTTTGCTCACCTCAGGGCTGAACACAACACAATAACAAGAAGCGACCATATTAGTTATTAATAAAGGTGATCAGACCTCTTTTCTCATTCCTCACCACTTCTCTAGCTTCTTAACCTCTGTTGCAATCACTGCCTGGTGGCAGCAGTAGGGATGCAAAGAGGAATTGCAATGGGGATTAAGGGAAAAGAACCAGCTCTTGTCATCAAAGCCAGTCACAATGTCTCTGACTGCGACCACAGCAGCATTAACTAAATAAAAGCATGAGTATTTTAGAAGATAATTATGCGATTGCAAAGGTAATACATTACGTTAGTGTGATTTCTATACTAAAATTATACTTCAAAGAATATTTGGATGATGCTCTTAATGTAACCATCTACATCTTTGCTATAATCCGCCCCCCCCCCCAAAAAAAAAAAATCAGGGTAGCTGTTTCAAAGAAATGTTACATTAACGTAACTCTGGTTGCACTGAACCTGATAGAAACACAGGCAGGAAACACAGAGTTAATTTCTGTAAGTTTGTTCATACTATTTTGCTGTAGTGACATAGTGACAATATTTATGGCAACACACAGTCACTTAGCATGTCAAAAAGACAACAAGGAGGTTAAGACTCTAGATTTCAAAAATTAAGATCCAACTTGATGTCCCAGATCATGCAGAATGGCAATTATTATCTTATACCCTTATTTCCTCCCCCATTGAAAACCATTTCATCTTGAACAGTTAATTCTTGTGCCTGGATAAAAGCATTATCTGGGAACAGAAAGCAGAGCATGCATTGAAAGAAAGCACTCTTGCCTTTAAGGTGTGAACATCTGTCTCTAAACATTTCCAACTTCAATACTCACTATTATGCTTGAAGATTCTAATAGTAGCACCTGAAAGCCTCGCACCAAGAACAAGGGAAGTGTGGTTCAACTCATCACTTAAAATGAGGCAGCCCTGTGAAGAAGGAGTACAATCAGCATTTGCATGAACTGGGAGGCTGTTGACAAGTGTGTGTCTTTCAGCATACATTTATGTCTATAATATAGCACTGCACCAATTAAACTGTAAGTATCAGATGTGAATCGGAATTTTTGCCACTTTTATGAGTGAGCAAAGACCCACTGCAAAGGCAGACAGAAAAAAAGAAAAGGTTGGATTCTCAGGAATTCCCAGGAGGTGCAAAGGGGCCAAATATTTCCTGTAACTAGAATGTGGTGAATAACCCTAACAGAGATCAACTGCTTTATACGAAAATCAAGTGATGTTTGTTCTTCTATCATCTGTCTAAAGTCTGTGTTGTGTTTCCAGAAAAATACAGCCAACCACCCCAAGTAGCATGACACTAAGGTAAGGAGGAGCGATACTGAGGCTGGACTGACATCAACAGTTTGAGCTGCAGAAATAAGATCAGGTTGGGTTGCTGCTGCATAAATTCCACGTCCATTAAGAAACAAGTGGAGCCTAGGCACCAGGCAGAATCTCTCCCTCTGGTAAATGAATATACAGTTCACCTGTAGCATATTTCTCATTAATTAACTCATATTCCAAAAAAGAAAACAAGTTTTCATCTAAGAAATGCAGGAGAAGTACCTTTGTGTGTTATATCAACAAGAGTCAGCATTTATAGCTGAAATTCAAGCTGGAACTCTAATTTAGTTCTCCTTTCTATTGTATATCTTTTATGGTTTTGTTTCATTACCCAGTCAAAGGACGATACATTAGGCAAATACTTATTTTGGAAACACAGATTATGCCTTGGATGAGAGATATGTACACAGATCTGCCTAAATACTACTATACAGCATCAGCAGTAAGAGTTAGGTATGTACATCTTGACAAGAAAATAATAGCTGCTAGGCTAATTATAGGGGAAATTTAAGAATAAATCTCCCAAACATGTGGCAATTACATAATACTTGCAACATATAACACGTCATAATGATATACAATATTAACAGATACTAAATATAGTTATATTCTACATAACACATATAGCAATATCTTTATGCCACTTGTATTTAAATATCCCTGTACAATTATTCCTGCTCAATTTCTGTGCAAGTAGGTAAAAAGAAAACAAACAAACAAACCAGTCCCAAATTGTTTATCCTACAACACCTGAGACATGGGAGGCAATGTGCTCACTTTTTAGGAAGAGGTAACTTGGTTAAGAGAACCTGGATAATCTTAAACTGGATCCCTAACCAGATGCTAGATGTGTGTGATAGGAACACCCAGAGCTAGAAAATATGACAAAGGAGCATATTACAAGCCACAAGGTCATCAGTATTATGACCCAGGGGTTCCCAATATCATGCTTTTTTTTTCCCTCAGTCAAGCCTTTCCATTTAACGCTTGCCCAGAATAATAAACAACAGTTCCATGTGTTCCTTCAGGAAGTACTCACCTTCCCAACAAGGGCTGGAATATTCATTGAATTTGTTGCAAATCCCATGCCAAACACCATAGCATCATCTACACCAAGGAACTTGGCCACAAGTTTCTCTAGTTCTACATGCTTGTCTAATGTACCTGCAGAAATATACAAAGAATCTTAAATCTCATTAGACTGAAAGATTTTAATTCTAAGGACATAAAATATACAAAAGATCAGTCGAGAAGACCATTATTAACCTATTTTTTTTTTATTTCTAATTAAGTTTTTCCATTTGTATCTGGTGCATGTGGAATACAACAAGAAAAAGGATGCGAACAAGCTATTACTAATGCTAAAAATATTGTTGCTGTTAAGGTAGCAAAGCAGTTGCCTTGGGAAAAAAAAAAAACACAAACCAAACCAAAACAAAAAAAACCACTTCAATTTCTCATAGCAACAACTTTTGATGTATTTTATCTTGAAAAGAAATTTTCTTCTCCCTACTCCTCCCTCAGTGAGGAAAAAGCCCTCCTCCTTTTTACAGGAAGCATAGGACAAACAACTTGAACATATTTGAGTTCTTTTTGGATGAGAAAGCAGAAAGTTACTACAATTAAATTCTTCCATTTTTTCTTGTGTGCCCGTATGTATGTATGTATACAAAATTTTTAATTATTTTGTTATATGGATAGACAAATGAAAGTTTTTTTCCATCTTTTTGTACTTTGGAAGGTAGAAGCCATGCCACTCTTCATAAGTGATAGCCGTTCTTCTTTCTTCCCTCTCATCAGTCAAACAAATGCCAAGGCAGCAACTGGAGAACCTTCTTTATTGCGTTTTACTTATCTAATATTAGTGCCTGGAGGCTCCAAATCAAAAATGTTCTCCAACCGTCCAACAAAAGCAGTATCTTTCCCCACCAACTCACAAAGGAGGACAACAAAATACAAAGGGGAACAAACAGGGGAGCAGTGTTAAAGATATTAAGATAACAACTAACTTTGAACAGTAATGAATCATCTCAGCTTGCCAACTCTCTAGTCTTTGGCTGGCTGTGCATTGCAGGTAGCAAGGCAAGAGGAATTCTTACAGGGTGATACACGGGAAAGAAAAGAGTAGCCTGTGGATTCTGACAGCATTTCTCCTATGAATAAACAGGGAACAGAAGAAAATATTGAAGAAGTGAACATCTCACTTCACTTGAGATGAACAAATCAATGTCACAATAATATAGGTAAAATGAATTACAATTAGTGAGAATAAGAAATCTGTGTTTACTGTGATGGCCAAAGGGTAGAAGAATGAAGGAAAGCAGAAGCTTGACTGAGTGCCTTGACAAGAATGTCAAATCACGAAGATGATCTTACCTTTATCATGGAGGGAAGCCCAGTAAAAACAACAAAAACAAAATGGCAGCAGCAATACTAACTCAGCCGTTGCAGCAAAGTAGTGGTTTTGTTAATTTTTCCTCATTAAATATCTAGAACCTCCAGTAAACGTGAGCTGACTGTGCATGAAGGTCCTCAAGGATGGCTGCTTTTTGTATTCATAGATTCCAGGATGTGCATGGGTATATGCCAGCCCTGTAAACAGCCAGTGCTTAGTAGCTGAGCTCCACAAAACACAAAAATAGTTTCAGAATTGAGCTGTCTGCTGGACAGGTCACAACCACGTGTGTGGGAGGCTCTATGCCTTGACTTGTAAGCCCAGTAGGTCTCAGCGTATATTTCTAGTTAGCTTTGTGTTTGATTTTTTCCCTCCAACTGCACTAGTGCTCCTTACAGATGCAATTTTGTCACTGAATGGCTACGGACAGATGAAGATTTGAAAGGAAAGTTTTGGAGCCAAGCACACTGTGGTGACAGACTATATCAGAAGTAGGTTTGTGAAAGCATAAGAAACAAGCAGTGCATGCTTTGCAAGGCAGTCATTTTAAAGCATGAGAAAATTGTCCCTGACTCTACCGGGGTAGATCTGAAACTACTGGGGTGGAGTTAAATTGCTTTTTGGGGTTGCAACATGTTTTCTGTTTTTACAAATAAGGAGTGCCTGACTCACTACAAATTATTCTGGTCAAGCATCTATTAGATGAACCAGAAAGGAACAGCACACTTTTGACCCAGTTTTAATGATTGCATGATGGGGAAGAATCAGACTTCTGAAAGTGATCTATTCCTACTTATTGTCTACTAGCCTTAATACATTGAACATAGATGGTATCGTATATCACTATTGTCTACAAATCCTGGACTACAAATTGGAATCAATAGAGGTTGGTTTAGCAACCCCAAAACCTGAACGACAAGGATTTGCAAAATCAGCCCTACGTTTGAATTACTTTAATCAGAATGGCAATACTGTATGTGGGTAAGGTGAGGTGTTAGAGCAGCAATATGATAAATACCCATACTGACAGGGGCAGGTTAGTGATAGCCATATACATTATGAAGAACAGATCTGAAAAAGCATACCAGAGTGCATTTTCCCAGTTTCAGATGAAAAGGGGTATTTATTTAATGAGTTATGCAATTATTTAATCACATCAGAAGATTTCTCCATCACAGGTCAATCTTTGGACACCATGTAAACTGCAACAATTATATCACAACCATTTCCACTGGGGGAAAAATGAGAGAATATATAGGCTTTATTGGACCGGGACTTGTCCACTAGCATTCCCAGTTGGTCACAGCAACAACCCCAAAAAGCACAAGCAGCATTACCAGATTGATGTGAATCTGATTTGAAGGAACTTCCTACAGGCACAAGCTGCTATGTCTCAAGCTACATAAGAAAGACAGTAATTACAGTGGTCTTTGTTAAACGCAACCTTATCAGTACCAACTCAGGTATCAGAAAAATGTCTTCAATTGTGTTGGATTTGACCAGCATTATGACCTAGTGAATGCAAAACAGTATACTAGATATATCGTTATTAATACACAGGTACACTGTGTAAATGGATACCTTCTGTACTTGTCCTATACATAAATACAGAGATCAGATTTTTTTCCCCATACTCTACCTCCTCTGATTTTTTATTTTTACATTGACTACAGCTTGGTTTGACCTGAGAAATGGGATATAACTAAATGTACATCATCCTACTGAGAAAGATTTAAAGTGAAAAAGAAAAAGAGAAAGCCACCTGCACCTTTAAGATACAAATTAGTTTCTTTTGAAAGCTATTCCTCCCTCATGAACAACTGTATGCAATAGAGGACAGCAGGTGTTTTGTTTCAAGATTATATAAATATTATGGAAAGTAAAATCAAAGATCTTATCAAAAGCGGGGACTTTCACAATATTAGCTGCCTCCGCAGATTCCCACCCTTCTCAAAGTAAATCCCCTCATTTTCAAATGCTGGTGACCTAGTTCCCTCCCTTAACTTGCCACTGCATTTTGGGGACAGGGAACACGAACCATGCTCTGCTGGGGCAGGCTTTCATAGTCTTACCCATGCTCTTGGACTGAAGGTCACTGTCAGTCTACTGGATACAAAAAGCTTGAAAATTCACTTCCCCCAGTCCACATGTCTTACTATTGAGCTTTGACACTTCCTTCAGCTTGAATATGGTGGGTAATACCACTGTTCAGTCTGCCCAATATAGTCTTTCAGGTTCTTACACATCAATGACATGTACTGGTTAAACTGCGAACATTGGCAGCAGTATCTTTTAATACAATTATTCGTTTTGATTTCTGAAACCCAAGGAATAAAAGAAAATGTTTGCTTCAAGATAAACAAAAGCTAGATGAGTAAACTGATAAAGACAGAAGTTTTTATCACTGAAAGAAAAAGAACAGATTCCCGTAAAAGTCAATTCCACATATGAACAGCAACTGGGAATCCTGATATGACTCGTTAATGTGAATAAGAATCATTACTCTATGAAATCTATGGTTTGTCAGAGGTACCTTTAGCTGCATGGGGAACAAAACAAGACACCTAAACATCCCTGCTACCCTGGAAACTTCAGGTCACAAACTCATTCTGGGAAGGTATTTGTCAGAGATTAAAAAAATAAAAAAATAAATTACTGAAACACATACACATTTTTACAAAGGAAGATCAAATAAGTTCCTACTGGAAGATGAAGAAAGAAGATGCAGTAAGTGTATTACTTTTTCACATAACTCTACAAAACTGGATGATCCAGATGGTATCACTGTCACACAGAGTCCACTAGAGGAGCAAAGCCTAAACTTGTTGGATGATACGCAGTGATGAGAGGCAGAGGAGCACATAGCAGTGTTATGCAAATGCCTCATTTATGACTGTGTGTGTATGAAAAGAGCCCCTAAAGAAGTGGGGTTTGAGGAAGCATTTGAAATAAAGGAAAGTGTTCGCATATTCTTAATTCTGCTCTCACCTCACAGGGCTTCCATACCAAAAAGATACCACAGGTGTCACAGATCCAATAATTTACCTGTGTTACTTACTGATTTTCAGAAAAGCAGAGATTGATTTTAACAAAACTTCCAGTTTAGTTTGGATCTTTTCATTTTTTTGGATTTTGTCTACCTTTATAAATACACAGCTGAAGTCCAACCTGTCTAGTATCAGAGAACGGACAGCAGCATCTGAAGTGTATAAATATCTCTACATACATAGATAACACTATATATTGGAGATCTTTTAGGTTTAAAACAGACCACACAACCCTTATTTACTCCTGATGCCTTCAGTTCTACCTGCTGGAAGTCAGACTGTTTGGAGCTTAATCATGCTTTACAAAGCATTCTTGTGCAGTGAAATACCAGAAGCAAACCTGGCCCTTTGATTTTAAGTTGGATCAGTTATTTATGGGAGAAGAGGTAAAAAAAAAAAAAGGAAAATGATGGTAGCAGGAGATGACAAAGAAGGAAAATTCCTCGTTAACTGTTTCCTAAATACTCTGTCCTACCAGAAAGCTGAGATTATAAAATATACATACACACTAATTCTCATTTAATATCACTGAATTTTTTCCTTAAGTTTCTACCTGGAAACTCTGAACTATAAGAACTTTAGTTCCTTATCATTTCCTCCTAACTAAAAAATGAACCATTTATTTCTCTGTGTGTTCAGTACCGAGTTTAAAATGTGCCCTTGCTTTTATTAAAGCTATGAAGTGGTATAAAAGAAAATACAACTATTTATACCTTCTTGAA